CTACAGTGCTTGTTTTTGTGCAAAAAACCCTTCCACAAAAAGCATGGGTAGAAAATATGCAAATGACAGTACAACAAATGCTAATGAGCACTTCATTTGCATTGTCTCTGCCAACAAAAGGCTGCAGTGTTGACATAACCAAAGAGGGCGAGGCGGTCACTCATCCATGGGCACAGCAGGGGGGCAGAAGCCACTGTCCCTGAGGTCATGCCTCCTATGTGAGCAGCGACCTAGAGTCCTTGGGCCAGAGGACAGGGATGTCCTGGGAGCAAGGGCTGGCCTTAGGGCAATTCCTCCGAATCAGGCCCCGCGCCTAAAGGGGCCCTGCGCCCTGAACCTGGAAGCATGGGCAGCAGAGCCAGGGCCCGCTTCATCAGTATGTGGAGCTGGTTCTCTCCCCCAGCCCTGCATGAAGCTGGCCCCGGACCTCCCGCGCATCCCCACCCCCCCGAGCCCTGCACATCCTCCATGTTGTGTGCAGCTTTAAGTCCAGCTCCCCCTTGTGAGCACGCGCTGCTGCTATGATGTGCAGCGTTCCCAGGTGAGCAGGGTCTGGGGACACATCCGGGCGTGACGTGACGTCACAGTCCAGGACTTTAAGACTGCTCGGCGCTGCGTTGCACCATGCGGCCTAGTTCCAGGTTCGGAGTTCAGGGACTTCTGGGGCCCAAGCGCAGACTCTGGCCCCACAAAGTGGAAGGCAGAAGGTAAGGTAAGGGGATGGGGAGGGGGAAATACAGGGCAGGTACCAAAGCACAGGGTGGAGGAGAGACAAATGGCAGGGGGCCAAGTACAGACAATGAGGAAATGGGCAGGAGGGGAGGTGTCAGTGGGAGGGGGGACAGGGTGATGCTGGGAGAGGGGAGGGGGAGGTGCTGAGAGAAGTGTTGAAAGGAGGGGTGGGCATGATGAAGGCTGGGATAGAGCAAGTCATGTGTGAGGGCAGAGGGGCATGAGAGGAATGGGGGCAGAGGATGGTGAGGGGGTGGGCATCAGGGGAAAAAAGGCAAAGGGGGAAGGGCAGACACCTGCAGGGGAGGGACCAGCACCAGAGGAGAGAGGCAGGGCAGGTGTGTAGAGGGAGGTGTTAGAAGAGGAGATGAGGAGGGGTAGCTCACATGATCAGAATGGGGCTACTGGAGGAGTGGGCACGGGGCAGAGATGGGATGGTGGGGGGGGCAGGTTGCAGGAGGGCTGAGGGTAGTGAGAAGGGCAGGAGTCAGGACAGCAGAGGAGGGTGAGGTGTTGGGAGCAGCAGGCACCAGGGGAGCTCATGGAGCAAGGGGAGGAGACAGGGCAGCAGAGAGAAAAGGTAAAGGTTTATAAAATATTTATAAATAACTTGGGTGTCACAGTGGCAAATCTGAACAAGCCACACAAACTCAGTACTGGTACACAACACAAAATTCATTTTGCTCATGGGAGGAAACTTAGGCTACGTCTACACTGGCAGCTTCTTGTGCCAGTACTTCTTGCGCAAGAACACTTCCACACTGCCATGTGAGAGCTGTGCTTTTGCGCAAGAGCATCCATGGCAGTGTGGATGCTCTCTTGTACAAGAAAGCGCTGATGGCCAGTTTAGCCACAAGGGTTTTTTGCACAAAAAATTCCTGCCAAGCATCCACAGTGCCCTCTTGTGCAAGAAAGCTTACACCTGTTAGAAAAAGAGTATAGCTCTTGCGAAAGAGCAGGCGGGCAGTGTGGATACTCTGAGGGGTTTTTCCGCAAGTATAGCAGTTCTTGCACAAGAAGCCACGAGTGTAGACTTAGCCTTAGAGGGAATACTCCCCCCAGTCTCTCTGCCCCTGAGTTAATGTCACACACATTGGGTTAATGCAAATGGAGGATAGTTGCATGAGGGAGGTTTGGTGGGGGCCAAACTAAACCCTGTTCGTAGGAGGATGGTGGAGAAACTCCTTCTAGAGGGGTGACAACACCTTTTACGTCTAGTTGTGTCCATCTTGCCCCGAGTGTGTTACCTCCAGAGGCATGGTTAATGGGGGGTCATGGGGTGTGGCTAATGGGCACCACCAAAAATTATACAAACCTGCTGCCCCTGCCCAAAGGGTGCCATGTGCACTGTGGGAGGGGGTGTCGGCCCTGAAGCAGGAGTGCGGCAGCGGCCTGTGGCGCAGGAGGGGGAAGGTGAGAGGGG